GATCACTGACTTGCTGCTCCAAAGTCTAATATTTCAGTCATTTAAAAAAACACTTGGTGAAACTGTGAAAATGATTCATCTTGAAAATAGCAGACTGATAGAATCATTCTTTGAGATTCCTCTTCTTGGTCTAGTCCTAGTCACAGTCACTGAACTGGGGCTCAATAACTGATTTTTAATAACAAAAGGTACAGTTTTTTGGGAAATGTGAGGATTTCATTATTTTAGATTGTAAGCCCTCAGGGGCAGGGCCCTCCTTACCATCTTGTCTTGAATTGTATTGTAACTGTAATGTCTTCCTTATATTGTAAAGCGCTGCGCAAACTGTTGGCGCTATATAAATACTATGTAATAATAATAATAATTCATGTAGACATACAATTACTGATGTGATGTACTATAATTGTGGATTTTGGGTGTCCTTTCCTGCTAGAAATGACTAGCATTTTTTCAGTGGCAATTTTATTCAAGATTTTAAAACTGCAATGCTTGTGTTTTCGGTTATTGAAACATGAGCTCCATCATAGACAAAATGTAGCAACTCACCAGAAAGTAAGACCCCAATATATAAGAAGTCAAATGCGCATTGGGAATCAAATCCACATAAAGTGCAGCACTTTAAGCAATACTTCTTCAATGTGTAGTAGGGCTGTTACTGATTAAAATGTTCGTGTTCGATTAATCGAAATCTTTTTTAATCGATTAATTTCGATTAATTATAACGCACATACAGAATTCTTGTCTAAGCAACAATGGTAATGGGGACAGGGCCACACAAAGACATTTAAAAAAAAAGTAAATGTAAAAAAATTAACAAGTTCAGGTTTTATTGAAAGGGGAGGGTTACAAAAATGGAAAGGTGAATGTCCACTGGAAGCTGCTCTCTTCCGTGTGTATATGGGCCGGTTGGTTATTAAATAATCCACTCCATTTTTTTGTCATTTGAAATCCTTTTTTCTGCGCTGGCTATACACGCTTGAAGAGCAACAGGACTGAATTTTAAAAAGCATTACAGAACTATTTTATATAACATAGTAACAGTAAGCAACATGGCAACAATACCTTTTTGTGCTTCTTCTGAGAACCTATTTGATACGGCTGATGCATTCTAAGTACTTTCTCTCTGTGTACTTTTAAATCATGGCGCCTTTGTGGCTCCGTCGGCTAACGAAGGGAAGGGGGGAGGAGTCCGGTGACATCGTTAGCCGTCACGGACATCGACGTCACCGGACTCCTCCCCTCTTCCCTTCGTTAGCCGACGGAGCCAC